ATTGTCACCATGAGTCAGAACTGACTCAATGGCAGTAAGTTTGGTGGGGTTTTTGGCTTATTACAGAGTTATTTTTGTATATTGAACCACCCTTGCATTCCTGGCATAAACACCATTTGGTCATTATATGCAATTCTTCTGATATGCATATGGATTTTGTTTGCTCATTATCTTGTAAAGGACTTTGACATCTATATTCATGAAGGATATTGATCTGCAGTTTTCCAGTATATTTGGCTTCAGAATCAGGGTAATGCTAGCCTATGGAATGACTTAGAAAGTGTTTCCAATTTTTTGGCAGAGCTTGAGAAATGTTGGTGGCAATTCTTGAAATATTTAGTATAGTCCACAGATGAAGCCATCTGCTGCTGAGCTTTTCTTTGTTGGAAGGTTTCTGAATACTGACTCAATCAATTTTTTTTTTAAGTTTTCAGATTTCCTTGGTAGTTTGTGTGCTTCCATTGCATTTGAGTTAGGGATCTGTTGGCTTTCTTACAATCCTTTTAGTCCTTAAATTTCTGAGAAGTCAGAAGTAATGTCCTTTCATTTCTGATTTTTTCTTAGTCAGTCTAGGTAAAGGTTGGTAATTTTATTGATCTCCTCAAAGAACCAACTTTGGGTTTTATTTTCTATTCTGTTTTATTTATCTTTGTTCTAATCTTTGTTTCCTTCCATTTGTCTTGGATTTAGTTTGTTCTTCATTTTTGTCTTCTAAGGAGCTCTGGTAGTGTAGTGGTTACGAATTGGGCTGTGAACCACAAGGTCAGCAGTTCGATACTACCAGCTGTTCCGTGGGAGAAAGATGAGGCTTTCTGCTCCTGTAAAGATTTACAGCCTCGGAAACCCTGCACAGGGTCGCTATGGGTCGGAACCGACTTCACGACACATAACAACAACAACAATAGCATAAAACTAGCTTATTGATTTGAGAGCTTTCTTCTTTTTCATGCAGACATTTATAACTAGAAATTTCTCTCTGAGCTCTATTTTTGCCACATACCATATGTGGATGCTGAACAATGAGTAAGGAAGACCAAAGAGGAGCTGATGCATTGGAATCATGGTGTTGGTGTAGAATATTAAATATGGCATGATTGCTAGAAGAATGAACAAATCTGTCTTGGAAGAAGGGAGGCCAGAATGCTCTCACATACTTTGGACATGCTATCAGAAGGGACCGGTTCCTGGAGTAGGACATCATGCTTAGTAAACGGTCAGCAAAAAAGAGGAAGCACCTCAACGAGATGAACTGACATAGTGGCTTCAACAATGGACTCAAAGCAACGATTGTAAGGATGGCGCAGGACCAGCATGGTTTGTTCCGCTGTACTTAGGACCACTATGAATCCGAACCAAACTGATGTGGCGCTGTAGGTAAAGCACTGGACTGCTAACCACAAGGTGGGCGGTTCAAACGTACCAGCTGCCCCTCAGAAACCCTAAACAAGGTTGCTATGAGTCAGAATGGACTCGAAGACACTTAACAACAACAACACATTTTGGGATGTTATGGTTTTGTATTTTAAACTTTTTCTTTGGCCCAACACTTCTTTAAAAGTGAATTGTTTAGTTCCCACACTTTAGTGAGTTTTCTGTTATTGATTTCTAGCTTCAAACCATTGTGATTGGAAATGACCTTTTTTATGATTTAAATCTTTTAAAATTCATTAAGACTTGTTTTGCATCCGGTCTGGTTAGAATGTTTCATGTGTATTTAAGAAGAAGGTGCATTCTACTGCTGTTGGATGGAATGTTCTGTATATATCTTTTAGGTCTAATTGATTCATAGTGTTGGTCAAGTCCTCCATTTCCTTAGAGACCTATTTGTGCTGACCTTTATTGAAAGCTGGGTATGGAATTCCCCAACTATTGTGCATATGTTTCTTTCTTTCTTCACTAATTTCATCTTTTGTTTAATGTATGATGAAGTTCTGCTCTAGGTTGTGTATGCATTTACATCTGCTCTAACTTCTTGATGCAATTAATCTTTTAACAATAAATAATGTTCTTTTTTGTCTCCAGTCTTCTACTTTCAACTTGTGTCTTTGCATCTAAAATGAGTCTTCTGTGGTTAACATATAGATGAATTGTGCTTTGTTTCTTTTTTTTACTTCATCCTGCCAATTTCTCCTTTTGCTTGGAGAATCAAAATCTGTTTACATTTAAAGTAATTATTGACAATTAAGGAGTTTCTCCTACCATAAAACAATTTCTCTACAGGGTTGCTATGGTTTGGGATCGACTCGATGGCCCTTAACAACAACAATATGTTCCTTGCTGCTCAATTCCTTCATCATTATCTTCTTGTGCATTTATTTAGATTTTGTTCTTACTCCCTTCTTCCCTTTTCTGTGCACTTTTAATCATTTTCTTAATGGTTACTTGGGAATTCCAATCAATACTTTTTATTTATAACAATTATAACAATCTAGTTGAATAATTGTAACTTAATTTCCATGGCATAAACTCTACTCTCTGCTTTGAGTTGCACTATGATATTTCTCTTCTCCTCCACATACCCTAAGTATGGGCAAAGTTCTATTCCCTCTCTCTCCCTTTATGTTAGGATTGTTACAGATTTCATCTTTACATACACTATAATGTGCCCATTAACATATATTTATAACTATTATTTTATGCATTTGCCTTTTAAATCATATAGAAAAAAAATGAAATGACTAACCCCAACTGGGAAGCACTAGTGGTAACAACCTTGCTCAGACTTCGGTTATCTGAGAATGTCTGGATTTCTCCTTCCTTCTTTAGCGATAGCTTCGCCAGTTATGGAGTCCTTGCCTAACCAACTGTACTGCATGTGGCTACCCATTTGTTCCAGCACTTTTCTTGAAAAGTCTCCTTTCCTCATTCAATGGTCTTGGCAGCTGTTTTGAAATCAATTGACCATGTATGTTTGTTTATTTTGGCACCATTTTATTCCATTGTACTATACTGTGTTTATTACTGTAACTGAGATGAGACGTGTGAGTCCTCCAATTTTGTTCTCCTTTTTCAAGATGGTTTTGGCTCTTCTGGATCCCTTGCAATTCCATATGAATTGCAGGACGGCTTTTCTATTTCTTTGGAAAATACCATTAGGATCTTGATAGGCATTGCATCAAATCTGTGTATCACTTTGAAACATGCTGTCATGGGATGTTTGTCCATTTATTTGTATCTTCTCTAATTCTTTTCAGCAATGTTTTGTGGTTTTCAGTGTCTAAGACTCTCATCCCCTTGGTGATATTTATTCCTATGTATTTCATTCTTTTTAATGCTACTACAAATGGAAGCATTTTCTTAATATTCTTTTTTGCTTGTTCATTACAGGTAGAAATACAACTGACTTTTGTGTGTGTTGACTTTGCATCCTACAAATTTGCCAAATTCATTTATTTCCTCTAATTGTTCTTATGTATTTATTGTGTGGACACTTTAGGGTCTTCTCTGTATAAGGCCATAAACGTATTTATTTGGAGTCCTTCGCTGTTTGCATGTCTTCGGGAGCGCTTTGACCTTCCAGGTGTAGATTTTCTTGTCCACCTTCTTTGGTGTCAGTTTTTACCACATTTTCATTTGTAGGTGTTCTCCCATACCCTCCCTGGCACCCATCCCCATGAAAAGCTGGGAGCTCCTATCCTGTGGTCTAGCGTTCTGTACAGAGTCATTACGTGGCACTCACAGGCCTGGCCCTGGATCCACATCCTTCGGACCCAGGGTCCCTGTGCTGATAATCTCCTAGACCCAGGAGTCAGAGAGAGCTGCCACACTGAAGACAACACAAGGCATCAGGGGCACAGGGCAGGCAGATGACTACAGTGGCCTTGCCAACCACGGAGCAAGAGAGCCAAGAGCCTTCGGACAGAAATGGATGCCTCCAGACACTTGTTACATGAGCTCAGGGCTTTGGAACACTTGTCCGACCTGGGCAGATGCCAAGGCTAAGAAGACTTTGTCATGAGAGGTCTGAGAGGATCCTGGACTCGGGGACAAGAGAGTCGTCCCTGGGGACATGGCTGAGGAGAAACTGTCCTGATCCGTGAACTGTGTGATGAGTTGGTCATTAACTTTCCAATGAGTCCAAATCCTGACCTGTAACCTGCAGACGTCTCCTTAATTAGCCCGCAACTCTGAGTGTGGCTTGAGAGTTTTCTGTGGCTGCTGGCAGGAAGGATGAAAGCCAGCAATGAAGCAAAGAGAGGCATGGGAGGGGTGGCTGGTATCCGAAGTCTGTCTCGCCTCCACCTCACAGGTCTCAGCTTTGGGCTGATGTTGGTTGTGATTCTCGTCCCACCTCCTGAAGTTAGAGGAGGCGGAGGTCTGCCAAGCCATGTTTACACATTTAAGCTGTGCTGGAAGGATCCCACCCTCTTAGAGAGTGGGCACCAAAGGACCATTTGCTTCATACATAGGAATACTCGATTCCAGGACCAGGGGTCAGATCAGCAGCCTCAGAGGCAGGGGTCATGCCTAACCAGTGCCTGAAGCCCAGGCAGCCAAGCAGATTGGCTAAGAGTTCAGGGAGTCCCACCCACAGAGCCTCGGTAGGTGGGTTATCACACCAGGGAGGTCACGCCTAGGTAACTCTGGCAGGACAACAACCCAATGAGGGGAAAGTGCCCACCAAGAGATCCCTCCAATGGGAACCCTTCAAGAGGTCAAGGAACAAGGTTGCAGTCACAGCCTTCTTTCCCAGGTGAGGGGGCTGGGCGTGTTCCCTGATAAAGAGCTAAGCCATCAGATATGCCCAAGACAGAAGTCTACCGGAGCGCTGGGTTTTTGTTCTCAGAGGTCACAAGGCAGACGGGACTCCAGGTCTAACAGCAGAAAGGTAGGCCCATGGCCTGGAGACCAGTTGGATGCTGAAGGCGCCTTTCGGGCAAGGCTGGGGTCTGTACCTGTACCTCACACTCTGTAGACCCACCTATCCAGCTGGCGGCTTGTTCTGTGTTGTGGCTGCAGGGGGAGGAGCAGCACAAGGCTGGGCGAGTGTGGAGTCTTACCTGGAAGACGGTCAGGATGGCAGCTGGGAAGGTATCGAAGTTGGTCGTGGGAGTCTCATCCTGGAAGTTGAACCTGAGGAAAAAGGAAGTCTCGGGAAGAGTCAGCGTCACAAGAGCAAGCCTGTGATATCATGGTCTGTGAAGGGTGACTTTCACCAGCCTGGGGAATGGGCGCTTCCCAACCCCTCTCCCAGCTCAGAGGTGGTCTGGACAGGGCAGTGGGCTCTTGCTCTCCTCCCCTCTGGACCTCACTTACTGTCCTCCAAACAGTTGCATTCCCAGCAGAGCAAAGACCACAATGAAGAGGAAAAGCAGGAAGAGGAGGCTGATGATGGACTTCATGGAGTTGAGCAGAGACACCACCAGGTTCCGTAAGGAGTTCCAATACCTGTGGGGTGGCAGCTGACCCTCAGCACACACACCTACCCCAGAGTCTGACCCAAGGTCAGGAAGCCGTTCCCTGGGGCAGGCTTCAGCAGAAGGATACTCCTTCTGTCGGGTGACAAACCCAGGTCTCCACTGCCCTCACCAGCATCTCACATGCCCCCACATTCTGCAGGTCAGAGACCCTACAACAGCCCACACATAGCACAAAGCTGCTTGCTGATGAGGAGTCCCACCATGACAACCACCAGAGGTAGAGGTGGGCCCGTTTCTCTCAGGCCTGAGCCACACCAGGGGGAGCCTCTACCCTTTCTCTCTCTGTCCTTCCCCATAACGCCCCTGGACCCACATCAGCCTCTTGCCTGCAGCAGGGCCTAGCATGCGGCACTTGTCAGAGCTACCAGTGGTAACCTCCTAACGGTAACCCCATGGAGGACCCCCAGAATCACCCCCAGCCCCAGCCATTCTCTACCCCTCATGCCCTCACCATGTCCAGTCACCCTCCACCCCAACATCCACCACCCTTGAGTCACCCTCCACACTCCGTGATGTGCTCCCCATCCCCCAGCATCCTCCACTGTGCTGCCCCCACACTCCCAGAACTCGGGCTTCTCTCCTAGCTGGCCCCCCTCCAACAGTTCCAAGTCCCATATGCAGCCACCCAGCAGGGTGGGTGATGGCCCAACTCAGCAGTCAGAGGATGGACCCACCCCAGCCACCATAGGTTCTTGCTGGACGGGGTCTGCACTAAGGGGCTGGGGGACCCACCAAAGCAGGTCTGGGGTAGAAGAAGCAGCAGGCAGGTTCAGGAGAAAGGTCAGGGATGGAAATCCCAAGACCACCCTCCTCTCTCCAGAATGGGCAGATTTGGGGTCAGGAGGATGAAAACAATCTCATCAGACAACTTCTATTTTCTCTGTTGACAATGAAGCCAAGCAGCCATCAAGAAGGAGCTGCCAGTGTGGCAAGACCTGTGGACTCCTGGGCGCAGAGCCAGTGACATAGCCACGAAGGACTAGAGTGGAGAGTGAAGCGTCCAGCTGATAAGAAGAGAGGAGATACATGCAAGAACACCCACATTACAGATAATACCTACTAGACTTCAATGACTGGATGATCAGAGCTCAACTAGAAGCAGAAAGAAGAGGGGGGAAAAGAGTAATCTGATACAATTTGATGAACTTGACCTACACCTACGGATGCAGTAGCTCAAAAGAGGGAACAAATCCTTATAGCAAGAATCATTCTCACCTCCTCCAGACACAGAGTGGACAGGTATGGGCAACTTGGATATTGGCTACCCAAAATGGGGGGTGGGGGGGGCAGGCCACAAAGGCAAGAAGTGACTGGCTTACAAGTTTTCAAGAGCGAGCCTAGATCCAGAGGGCATGGAGCAAGGTAGAATCTCCACTGAATAGTATCCAGTCTGTCTGGGTGGGGCTGATGAAAGGAGATGTGGATAGGTCCCTTATGGTACAATGGTGAATAATTGTTACCAAGACTGACTGTGAGGGTTGGAAATATAAAGGTTGACATTTTATAGCAAGGAGGGGAGTGATTAACTTTGCAGTCTAGGAGTGGAGGTCCCTGGGACCATCAAGGGAGAAGTACGGAGAGCAGGACCCTACCCAGAGAAGCAGTGACGCCAGAGATGGAGGCAGAGACGATGACGTGGAGAGATGGAGCAGCTGGGGACTCTAGACCCAGAGAGGGAGAGGGGCTGTGTGCTGACGAACGGGGGCAGACTTGTAGTGTATACCCTTTGGTTGGTTGATGATGCATGGAGGAGACTGTAACCATGGCAATGAAACGATACACAGTAGGATGAATGTAAAGCTCATGTTCTCAGGTAAACTATCACATAATTCACAATAAAACATTAAAAAAAAAAGGAGCTGCCGGGAACTGTGGGAAGCAGAGAGCTTAACAGGCCTCTGCAAGAAGGACAATCAGGTAGGACCAAGAACCCAGGGTAGGCAGAGGGACGCTGGGGAGGGACGCTTCCAGCATGAAGCTCGATTGCTGTCTTTTTATATCTAGATTCTAGATCTAAACCAACTATATGCCACAGATAGGCCTTCCATTGTCACGAATCCCGAAAAAGGGAGTGTGCCCCGCCTAGGCCCACTGCAGCAAGCTGGAGGACCACCTACTTGGTAACCTTGAAGATGCGAAGCAACCGGAGCGCCCGCAGCACGCTGATCCCAAAGGAGGTTCCCGGCTGGATGGCTGCCCAGACCACTTCAAAAATGCTCCCCACGATGACCTGCAATGGAGATGGCATTAGCTTTGGGGTGCATGCAGGTGTGTGACCACACACGTGCCTGGAGGAGAGTGTGCCCTCCTCTCTGTGTGAGCTCTGTCTTGCCCCACACCTCCCACTGCATTGTCCCAGTCTACCCAGTTACCCAAGTGCTGAGCCAGGACCCCGAGACATAGGACTAGGTCTGCTGATTTCCTGACAGATCCCAGAGTCACCTGCTCTAAGGTCTCCTTGGGGCTTTGTCACACAGCCCCGTGGCATGGAGTCTTCTTACACACCTCTGGGCAAGAGGCAGATGTCCTTTCATAGGTCTTCTTTCACCCTCCACTGCTGACCCACATGTGTCGTGAGTCCACTCTTCTCCAAATGACCAGAAGCCAACACAGGGTCACTATCTGTTTCAGTCATGGAGTCCCCACTGGGGAACTGGGGGGGTCACCCAGACACCCAAAACTCTCAATGGAAGTTGAGATCCGAGGGCACCTTCCTCTAGCCACTCTGCATGTGGACTGGGAGCAGGGTCTTCTGGTCAAGGCCCGTGTGGGGGCTCACAAAGGGTGGGTCAGTGGGGCCAGGGAACAGCAGATCTCTGGGGCAGTCTGGGCAGTCTGGGGTCAGGCTCAGTGTGACCCGACACCCTCCTCACGTGAAGAGCCGACCGATGTGGAGGATTCATTAACATCTACTTTACCACACTCAGCTCACATAGCACCCGAGTTCTGGGTCCTTTCCACTAACGTCACATGGACGGCACATTTCTTCAGCCTAACATCAGTGTTCTCAGCCAAGTCCCTGGGAACATAGCGAGTGTGTCCAGAGTCCTGTGGTCCATGACCAGCGACAGCTCCATAGGTTAGCACCGATCCAGCAGCATGTGCGGCCACTGTCCACATCCCTGCACCGAACCCTCAAATGTCTTGTAATAGCAGCTGCATCACTCTACAGCCTCTGGGGTGACCCTACTAATAACAAAAGAGTAGGCTTGCCAAAGCCAGTCCTGAGCAGGTAGGTTCCGGCTATTAGTCCTCACCAGTGACGTTCCTCAGAACTCAGACTCTCTAGGTGTCTGCCGGGGTTCAAGCCTCCAGTAGCCCCATAGCTCCTCTCCTGCTTTCATTTCATCATCAAACTCGGTCCCCACAGACCCACGTGGTAGGCGGCTGATGACTCCCACGCTCCAGGTATTCCCCGTGTACAATCCCACCCTTGTTGTTGTTGTTGTTATGTGCCGTAGAGTAGGTTCTGACTCGTGGTGACCCCGTACAGGATTTCCAAGGCTTTAATTCTTTAAGGGAGCAGAAAGCCTCATTTTTCTCACGCGGAACAGCTGGTAGTTTCAAACTGCCGACTTTGAGGTTTGCAGCCCAATTCATAAACACCATGCTACCCGAGCTCCTTACAATCCCACCCTGTTGTTGTTAGGTGCCATCAAGTCAATACTGACTCATAGCGACCTTATGCACAGCAGAACGAAACACTGCCCGATCCTGGGCCAACCTCACTACCATTGCCACGCGTGAGTCCATTGATGCTGCCACTTTGCCAATTAATCTCATTGGGGGAGTCTTCCTCTTTTTCTCTGACCCTCCACCTTACCAAACATGATATCTTTCTCCAGCGACTAGTCCCTCCTGACAGTATGTCCGAACTATGAGAGACAAAGTTTGGTCATCTTGGCCTCCAAGGAGCACTCTGGCTACACTTCTTCCAACACAGATCTGTTGGTTCTTTTGGCAGCCCATTACACCCTCAATATTCTCCTCCAACACCATAACTCAAATGCATCAATTCTACGGTCTTCCTTATTCACTGTGCAGCTTTCGCATGCATACGAGGTTATTGAAAATACTATGGCCTGCGCACCTTAGTCCTCAAGCTGACATCTCTGCTCTTCAACGCTTTAAAGTTCCTGTGCAGCAGATTTGCCTAATGCAATACGTCGTCTGATCTCTTGACTGCTGCTTCTGTGAGTGTTGATAGTTGATCCAAGAAGAAGGAAGTCCTTGACAACTTCAATACTTTCTTCGTTGATAAGAATGTTGTTTATTGGTCCAGTGGTGAGGATTTTTGTTTTCTTTACACTGAAATGCAATCCATAGCGAAGGCTGTGCTCTTTGATCTTCATCAGTAAATGTTCTAAGTCCTCTTCACTTTCAGCAAGCAAGGTTGTATGATCTGCGTATCACAGGTTGTGAATGAGTCTTCCTCCAATCCCCGATGCCACGTTTTTCTTCATATAACCCAGCTTCTCGGATTATTTGCCCAGCATACAGGCTGAATAAGTATGGTGAAAAAATACAGCCTTGTAGTGCACCTTTCTTAATTTTAAACCATTCAGTGTTCCCATGTTCTGTTCGAACAACTGCCTCTTGGTCCAGGTACAGATTACTCATGAGCACAATTAAATGTTCCGGAATACTCATACTTCACAATGTTGTCCATAGCTTGTCATGATCCACACAATCAATAAAGCACAGGTAATCAATAAAGCACAGGTAAACCTCTTTCTGATATTCTCTGCTTTCAGGCAAGATCCATCAGACATCAGCAATGATATCCCTTGTTCCACGGCCTCTTCTGAATCTGGCTTGAACCTCTGGAAGTTCTCTATCAATGTATGCTTGCAGCCATTTCTGTATTACCTTTAGTAAAACTTTACTAGCATGGGATATAAGAGAGATTGTCCGATGATTTCTTCATTCTGTTGGGTCACCTCTCTTTGGAATGGGCACAAATACGGATCTCTTCCAATCAGTCGGCCAGATAGTTGTCTTCCAAATTTCTTGCCAGAGATGAGTGAGTGCCTCCTGTGCCACCTCACTTTCTTCAAAGATTTCAAATTTTATTCCATCAATTCCTGGTGCCTTGTTTTTTGCCAATTCCTTCAATGCACCTTGGACTTCCTCCTTCAGTATCATTGGCTCTTGATCATATGCTACCTCTTGAAACAGTTGAACATTAACCATTTCCTTTTGGTGCAGTGACTCTGTGTATCCTTCCATCTTCTCTTGATGCTTTCTGCATCATTCAATAACTTGCCCAGAGAATCTTTCAATAATGAAAGTCAAGGCTTGAATTTTTTCTTCAATTCCCCCAGCTTGAGAAACACTGAGTGTGTTCTTTTTTTTTTTTTTTGGTTTTCTGATTCCAGATCTTTGCACATTTTGTTGTAATATTTGGCTTTATCTTCTTGAGGTGATCTTTGAAATTTTCTGTTCAGCTCTTGTACCTCCTCATTTTTTCCATTTGCTTTAGCATCTCTATGCTGGAGAGCAAGTTTCAGAGTCTCTTCTGATATCCATTTTGTCCTTTTCCTTCTTTCTTGTCTTCTTAATGATTTTTTGCTTTCTTCATGTATGATGTTCTTGATGTCATCCCACAACTCTTCTTGGTCTTCGGTCTTTAGTGTCCAATGCATCAAATCTGTTCTTGAGATGATCTCTAAATTCAGGTGGGATATATTCAAGGTCATATTTTGGCTCTCGTGGTTTTGTTTTCATTTTCTTCAGCTTCAGTTTGAATATGCATATGAGTAATTGATGGTCTGTTCCACAGTCTGCCCCTGGTCTCGTTTTCACTGATGTTATGGAGCTTTTCCATCGTCTCTTTCTGAAGATGTGGTCAATTTGATTTCTATGAATTCCATCTGGTGAAACCCATGTGTATAGTCATCTCTTATGCTGTCCAGAGAAGGTATTTGAAATGAACAAATCATTGGTTTTGCAGAATTCTATCATGTGATCTCCAGCATCATTTCTATCACCAAGGCCATATTTTCCAACTACTGATCCTTCCACTTTGCTCCCAACCTTTGCATTCCAATCACCAGTATTGATCAATACATGTTGATTTCATGTTTGATCTATTGCAGATTGAAGAAGTTGGTAGAAATCTTCTATTTCATCCTCACTGGCTTTAGTAGTTAGTCCATAAATTTGAATAATAGTGGTATTAACTGGGCTTCCCTGCAGGTGCATGGATATCATCCTATCACAGACAGTGTTGTACCTCATGACTGGTCTAGGTATGTTCTTTTTGACAGTGAACGCAACACCATTCCTCTTCAATTTGTCATTCCTGGCATAGTAAACCATGTGGTCATCAGATTCAAAATGCCCAATACCAGTCCATTTCAGCTCACTAATGCCTATAAGATATTGATGTTTATGTGTTCCATTTCATTTTTGACAACTTTCAATTTTCCGAGATTCATACTTTGTACATTCCATGTTCCTATTATTAATGGATGTTTACAGCTGTTTCTCTTCATTTTGAGTTGTGCCCCATCAGCAAATGGAGGTCCCGCAGGCCTTACTCCATTCACGTCATCACGGTCAACTCTACTTTGAGGAGGCAGCTCTTTGCCAGTCACATTTTGAGTGCCTTCCAACCTGAGGGGCTCATTTCCCGGCACCATATCTGACAGTGTTTCTCTGCTATTCATAAGCTTTTCAGTGACTAAATATTCAGAAGTAGTTCATCACTCCTTCTTCGTAGTCTGTCTTTGTTTGGAAGCTCATCTGAAACCTGTCCACCATGGGTGACCCTGCTGGTAATTAAAATACCAGTGGCACAGCTTTCAGAATCACAGCAAGTCACAAGACACCACAGTATGACAAACTGACAGGTCACACACCTATAAGGCAAAGGGGATGAGACGTAACGTCCAAGATGGGTTACTAACAAAATGGTTTCTACCCTGGGTCCCTCCGCTCCCTCTGTTTCTGAGCATCAGCTGTGGTGTTGTGAGGACACGCTCAAGCAGATTGGAGAAGCTCGAGTGACCAGAAGCTGACGCTTGCCAATGCCACGTGAGTGAACTTGGATGTGCATTCACAGCCTTGAGATGAAGGAACCCAGTATCGGCTGGCTGTCACCTCACAAGGGGCCTCAATGCCCAGAATCCTGGCCCCCAGAACCTGTGAGACCATCAGGGGTTATTCTGTTAAGCTGTTAAGTTTGGAACAATTTGGTATGCATCATCAGATAAGGCATACAGCCCAGTAACCTGGCATGCAAATGACCCCCATGTCTTAGGATCCAGTTAGTCCACACCAGCAGAAGCAGATAAATTCGACAGCCCCTTGTGTCTCTGGGCTCCCTCTGCCTACATGCTGAGAAGGCAAAGGATAAGAGATGATGTCTCCCCGCTTACCAACCGAAATCACCGGTGCCACAGCTCAGGGGGCACCTGTACCATCCGGCTTCCTCCCGAGACCAGGCAACCATGTGAGATGGAACCCACTGCCCAGGATCAGAGCCCCTAGATGCAAGCCCTACTCATAGTCACTGTGCCTATCCGCTGGGCAGTGTTGGGCACCTGTCATACTCTGTCCAGGTTCCTGACAGTGAGGTGAAACTGCTGTGAGAACTTAGAACCATGGATGGACACAATGCTCTACCAACTGCAGGTGTGCAGTGTGAGGACGGAGGATCCTAGTTAGAGCTGGGCTGAGTCTTCATACTGAAGGTGTACTTCCGCCTAGACTCAGGGTCCCCTCCCTGCCTACCAAGAACTCCATCAAGAGGGAAGGTCTTCCTCTGGGGTAGTCTCCAGTAGTAACTCAATGCTCCGCTCAGGGCACACCTGGGACACTTCCGGGCTCTGGGCTCAGCACTAGGAAGAACTGTGTGCTCGTTTATGTCCAACAGAGTGACCCTCACACTGCCCCTGTCCGACATTCCAGCAGGCCTAAAAGCATGTTGCTCTGGCACGGCCACCCGGCCACACTGAGAACAGGCTGGTCCTAGAGCCATCACGGCCTTGCAGTCTTGCCAGGAGAAACCCTGGCCCACGTGCCCAGGCAGGGTCAGCAGAATGACAGGGTCAGGACCACAGTCCCCCTGGAACCAAGCCCCAGGCACAGAGCAGGTGCAGAGCCTTTGCTGGGTGGACAGGTTGGGGCGGGAGATAGTTTGAGGAAGGTAAGCAAAACTACAGGAACAAATTGGGACATTTCCTTCACTTTTATCAGAACTCAGATAAAGGTATGTAGCCCAGGGAGAAGGTGACCAGAGGACCAGGAAAACCATGGATCACTGAACAAGGACCCACAGGGGTGGGCAGAGGAAACACCCACTCACAAGAGCAAATCTGACCTTGAGATGACAGGCCGAGGGGTCAGGGAGGGCAGGGTCTGTGGCCAGCAGCCTCCCTGCTGGGTGACCCTCTGACACACACTAGCCACGGCTCCGCCTTCACCTGGGCTTCATCTCAAGGCTCTCAGCCTCACTGGACTCTCAGGGTGTCTCTAACTCACCCCAAAGTCGAAGCAATTGAAGGAGGACCGGAAGTAGCTTCTGGGCCCCAGGCCATACATCTTCAGGGACATCTCTGTGAGGAAGAGACCCAGGAAAACAAACTCTGCAAAATCTAGGAGAAGCCAGAGAAGAGGAGGGTTAGCACATGCCTCCTGCCCTGGCTGCGGCTCCACAGGGGAGACATCAGACTCTGGCCCCCAACCCCCCAGGCCTGATCTGTGGTCTAACAGGGAACACATGTCTCCGGGTACCCACCTACTGGGGCCTGGGCTGTGCTCCCTGGGCCTGGTTTATGCCTGAGAGATACTAAACTCTGGGCCCCCTAAGCCCAGGCCTGGTCTCGGTGCTGGTCTTACTCAGGGCCCCCGGACTCTGCTCCCTCCTCAGCTCTGCGCTGCTCTTTATTGGAACCGCAGACTCCAGAACGAGGCAGCCTTTAACCACGCTGGGGAGCAGCTCAGGTACAGGGCAGAGCTGCAAGGGCCACCCAGAGAGAGAGCAAGCCTTCATGCAGGTCTGCCACCAGAAGGGGCCAGAAGCAGGTCCTAATAAAGGTCACCTGAGGACAAGGGGGTCACACTCCCCATCTGTCCCTGTGAGCCTAAAACCCTGGCTTCTAGTTCCAGTTCTCCACCAACAACAGCAGTGCCTGGGGTCAGATGGAGCCTCTGTGACAACCTCTGTCTCGACCTCACGTCTCTCCCACCACTGACCCGGCGGCTTCCCCAGATGTCCTGTCTTTCAGGGGACACTGAGGCCTGAGCAGTCCCACAGCTCTCGGGCAGAAGACCCTATTTTGCCACCTGAGAAACTCCTCTCCACAACAAGCCCCACCACAAACCCATCCAGAAGTCCCTCCGGACCTCCAGCCAGGCAGGCGCAGGCTCAGGTGAGGAGAAGGAAGACCCTCCCAAGAGAAGCAAAGACGAGGCAGAGAGTCATGCAGACCGAAGGGCAGCCGGGCTGGCCACACCTTCCAGACAAACACATGACCTGGACCGGCCACGCTCTCTTGACCACCAAGCTAGAGACCCCTCCTCACAGTGGGAGGGACCTCCTAACTCACACACAAATCCTGGAGGTGGACAGAGAAGCTGCCCTCCTGATCTCAAAGAACGATGCCCAGGCAGCCCCAGAGCCAAGAGGGTCTTTCTATCACTTACTCACATGGCACGCCCAGTACTGCTGTGAGCCGGCACAGGGACAGCGGCCCTCCCTCCACGGGGCTCACAGACTCAGGGTGCAGAGAAGGGTCAGCACAGGGACAGCTGACCCTCCTCACAGGGACATCTGCCAGACAGGCCAGCCCAGCCCAAGACACCTAACTTACTCTGCACACAGACCACAAACACATTGAGCAGGGTCACCCCCAGGGGCAGGAAGTGACCATGAGACTGAGAACTCCACCAGTGAGGGAGCCCTGCCAACAAGCAGGCGTGGAGGTGTGAAGTGGCTCTCCACAGAGCTAGTGCTCCAAGTCCCATCTCAGACACTGGGCCTTATTGCGCCCCCCGGAAGAGAAACGCACTGCTGCCATCAGCCCAGGTTGGGCTCACAGAGAGAGGAAAGGCCTGTGGGACCCTGGAGCGCCAGAAGGGCTGAGTGTGGTTGATCTCTGAGGAGCAGAAGAGGTCGTGGGAGGAAAACCACACTGGACTGTCTGCTGGTTTCATGTGAGACCATAGACCAGGCCCCAGGGTCCAGGACAAAGTGAGAGCCCAGATGGTCATGTTCCTCCTGGCCCTATTTGGACCTGTAGCCAGGTTAAGAAATGTAACTGCATTCCTGAGGTCAGCTGTGGTCAGCAAGAAGCAGAGGAGAGCCCTGGGAGATGGGATTCCTCTCAAGAATTCCAGAATCAAGTCCCCTGGGGTCTGTTGATCTAAAGCCAGTCCACCTCCTCTCCTGACCCTCTCTTCTCATCTCCCAGGCTCGCCTAGGGCAGCCCTCCAGAGTGTCCGCTTGAGCCTGCTCAGAATGCAGCAGAGCTGGGGCAGGGAAGAGGCCAGCCCTCGCCACCAGCCCCACTCCAACCGGCTGTAAACCCAGCAGAACCCACAGAGCCAGGGCGGCCCTCTGGGGCCTCGGTACCTACACAGCGCAGTGGTGAGCCGCTGTGGTTGGTTGTAGTGCACCATGGCCACGCAGAGAGTGTTCAGCGCCACAACGCACAGCACCGCCCAGTAGAAGCTCTGTGCCTTCACCATGCGACGAATGAAAAACCGGAACATCTTCTCCTTCCGCCGAAAGTAGGAAGAGCTATCATTCTTCCCGCTCTTGAGGCTAGCGCGAGCGAAGGGGGAACCTGGGAGCAACAGGGGTGTGAGGGCGAGAAAACAGAAAGGAACTGAGTAGGCAGCTCCACCAGGCTGTCCTCCACTAAGGCAATGCTCAAGCTAGCAAAAGCTGGCAAAGTCAACTTTTCTCTGATCTCTAAAATCTAACAAAGAATTTTATGACAACCAGGGGAATGCATAAAGAAGAAAGTGGCTGCTGAATCTGGTCAGAGTGTTGTGGAACCTTAATATTCCCATCCACTGCCCGCAAGCTCTAGCTCAGTGTCAGCCAGGGGAGCAGAGAACTGTGTACGTGCATTGACCTAGCTGAGGAACTGGCTCAAGCTTTCTCAGTGCTAGGGAAGTCTCCCAGGCAGTATCTCACAGACACCTGGGGCAAGGATAACACAGGGAGCAAGCAGCAGGTGGATGGGTAGAAACTCCTGGGAAGGAAGAGGGAAAGGAAGATGGGTAGAAAAACCTGAGAGACAAAGGCTTGGAAAAACTCCCATGTATCATAGAGAGCCTAACACGCACATTCAGGTTAGACACATATCCAAAAAGGACCTATGGAGGTGCTGTTTTCAGCTCTGGCTACCTTTAGTTTCAAGACAAGCAGGAATTGATGGCTAAGGGAGAGTTGTAAACAGCTTAGCCGAGCATAGAAGAAACACCCCAGAATACCTGAAGGAATTAGAAAAAAAAGAACAAACTCTACCCAAGATAAGCAGAAGGAAGGAAATAATTAAGAGTTAAACAAAGATAAAAGAGAATAGAAAATTATACCAACAATAAAGAAACTGAAAGTTGCTCCTTTGAAAAGATCAACAAAACTGACAAATGTTTAGATAGAATGACTAAGAAAAAGAGACTGAAAACTCAAATTACTAAGATCAGAAAAGAGAGAGAAGGCATTACTACCAACTTTACTGAAATAAGAATGATTATCAATTGTAATCTACTAGCACCAGAAGATGATTCCTATGAAGCAGGACAGACATACCTCCATTCTCCAAATTTTTACCAACTGAGATACCAGTCACCCTCCCGACAGCACCCTTCCTCTCTAGAAAAAGGGTGTTGTGGAGAGTATGATGGTGTCAAAACTGATAAAAAGATTGGAGAGAAGAAGCATTCTGTGGGGAGGACACCTGGGTGAGATCCTTCACTGCAATGGCACACAGAACTCACACACCATGCTTGTTACTCTGTGGCTTAGTAGGGAATTTGTTAGGTGCTTTTAAATGCGTTCCAACACATAGTAATCCTATGCACAACAGAACAAAACACTGCTTAATAAAAAACCAAAAATCTACATAATAAAGAATGTTCATGATGAAAGGAAGAAAGACCATCTCAACTGATACAGAAAAACCATTTGGCAAAATTCAACTTCCTTTCATGATAAAAACATGCAAAATAAAACTACACACCATAGCAATGAAATACAAGAGGGTGAAAGTAAAACTAATGTTCTCCCATGTAAACTATCACATAATTCACAATAAAACATTAAAAATAAAAAAAAGTGGAAGCAACCGATAAAAAAAGGTAGACAAAATAAATGATTGGGCCATACTAAAAATTAAAAACTTATGTGCATCAAAAGACTTCACCAGAAGAGTACAAAGGGAACCCACAGAATGGGAAAAAAATCTTTTGCAATGACACATCAGACTAGGGACTCATTTCTAAAATATATAGGAAACTACAAAACCTCTACAAGAAAAAGACAAATAGGCCAGAAGAACAGAAGATATGTCCCGAAAGAAAGACTGACAAGAAAAACACAAAACAATATAGGCAGGCCGACTGATTACTATAAGAACAAACAAGTGGCTCGCCCAGGAGAAATTAACGCAAGTGGTCAGGTCCCCCTCAAGGCAAACCCCCTTCTAAGACTAAGGCTCAACGGGAATGTATGCTCTGATTGGTGACCATGTCCGTCTCCAATAGGGGGAAATGAGGGAAAAACAGCAATGAAGCTGTGAGCTACACCCTACAACGCTCAATAGAGTCCTGTGAACCCAGATGGAGACCTGGTTGACCAGCAGTGTGCCAAGTCCAAGGGACTCTTGGACCCAGAGTCAGCAACATAGCCACAGAGAACTAGAGTAGAGAGTGAAGCGTCCAGCTGATAAGAAGAGAGGGCACATGCACAAGCATACCCACACTTGCAGATAATAATACCCACTTGACCTGGCTTCAATGGCTGGAGGATCAGCGCTTGAACAGAAGACGAAAGAAGAGAGAATAACGAATAATCTGATACAATTTCATGAACTTGACACACACCTATGGAAGCAATAGCTAAAAAGAGTGAACAAATAAATCTTCACAGCAAGGATCATTCCCACCTCCTCCACACACGGAGGCAACTTGGACATTGGCTACCCAGAATGGGAGTTGCTACAGAGGCAAGAAGTGACTGGCTTACAAGCTTTCAAGAGGGAACCTAGATCCGGAGGGCGTGGAGCAAGGTAGACTCTCCACTGAGTAGTATCCATTCTGCCTAGTCAGGGCTGATGAAAGGAGATGTGGATAGGTCTCCTGCGATACAATAATGAATAATTGTTATCAGGAATGACTGTAAGGGCTGGAAGTGTAAAGGTGGACATTTTGGGGCAAAGGGAGGGGAGTGATTAACCTTACAGTTTAGGAACGGAGGACCCTGGGACCATCGAAGGAGAAGAACAGAAAACAGAACCCTACCCAGAGAAGCAGTGATGCCAGGGATGGAGGCAGAGATGATGACGTGGGGAGATGGAGCGGCTAGAGACTTTGGACCTGGAGAGAGAAGGGGGCAGTGTGCGGATGACAGGAGGGCAGCCTTGAGGGATATACCCTTTGGTTGGTGGATGATCCATGGAGGGGATTGTGACCATGACAAGGAAATGATATATGACAGGATCAATGTGAAGCTGATGTCCTCCCATGGAAACTATCACATAATTCACAATAAAGCAATAAAAAAAAAAAAAGACAATAACCCGACAAAAAAATGGGCACAAGACATGAACAGACACTTCACCAAGGATGAGATCTGGGCAGCCAACAAACACATGAAGAAATGTTCACGATCACTAGTCATTAGAGATGCAAATGAAAACAACAATCAGATACCATCTCACACCAGCAACAACAGCAAAGATCAAAAAAGTAGAGGACAATCAATGCTGGCGAGGACGTGGAGAGACTGGGACACTCCTGCATTGCTGGTGAGATTGCAAAATGGTCCAACCACTCTGGAAAGCAATATGACATTTCCTCAGAAGGTTGGAAATAGAAATAGCTTATGATCCAGCAATTCCTCTACTTGGTATTTACCCACAAGAAATCTGAGCATAACATGAGTTGATATATGCACACCAATGTTCATAGCAGCACTATTTACAATAGCAAAAAGATGGAGACAGCCTAAGTGCTCATCAACTGAAGAATGGATAAACAAACTGTGGTATATACACACAGAATATTATGGCAATAAAATGGAATATTATGCTACCTTGAAGAACAACAAGGAAGCTGCAAGTCACCGCATAACATGGATGAACCTTGAGGACATTATCTTGAGTGAAATTAGTCACAAAAGGAGAAATACTAATGTGTGTTGACGACCGCGGGGCAGTCTTGCAGGGTGTACCCTTTGGTTGGTTGATGATGCATGGAGGGGATTGTAACCGTGGCAATAAAATGGTATACAATAGGATGAATGTAAAACTAATGTTCTCCCATGTAAACTATCCCATAATTCACAATGAAACATTGAGAGAGAAAAAAAGAAAAAAAAGAAATACTGCATAGGACTACTACTGTAAAAGACTAAGAAAAAGAACCCATACTAAAGAGGGGAGGGGTTCTTTGCTGATTACCAGGATATGGGGGGGTGAGGTGAGGGACGGGAGGGGAAGGTGAAGCATGGGGCAGGGAATAGACACAGGATAGTTTGGGTGCTAGGGAGGTGGGCATTACACAAGATGGGGAAGGGGAATGGAAGAACAAAGGGGACGAGAAAACAATTAAGCAGGCTTGCATGGTCTAAGTGGGTCAGAAGTAAATAATGATGTATGCACAATCTTAGAAAGACAGGGCCCTGGTATACAGGGATTGAGACATGGTTTGAATGGGGAAAAGGGGGGAAATAATGTTAAGATGCTTGGCTGTCTTTTGAATCTTGGTTTCCCTAGCATACCATTATAAAATAGACACTTGAGGGGGAGAGAAAGGAATAGCCAGAAATATCACCATAGAAAGCTTGTAAGTCTGTCTTTTGCCTATAATTGATTGGAATACCTA